TGGGAGTAACTGGGCTCTTAGTTTGTTAGTACTCACTCAGGCCTATAGAAAATAGCGGTATGTTAATCTGCCTTGCTGCCCTTACGTAATTCAAAAGGAGTGAGAGGGGGGAAGACAAGGGGAGCATGAGTAGAGATTAAAGGTAGGTGACACTTACATGTGTAAGCAAAGGTGTCCGCTGTGTTGTCCCCTGCGCTCGCTGGGCTTCTCTGTCAGGTGATCGGCCTTCCTCGGCAGGTGTTATGCAAAGTGAGAAGATGTCAGAGGAGGTGCCAGTCCAGCGGCCTGCAGTGTTTGAGGCTCCCTTTGGAGGTTGGTTTATATATTGCGCCTCAAGTGAGAACCCGCCTTTCCAGAGCAGTCATGGGACACTCGCTGCTGCACTCGGGCTAATGTTTATCGAGCTTGTTGATGGGGGGAAAAAAGTAATTATAGTTGTCTGCTGATTATATTGCTTAACCTTATCCCCCAAATTATATTTATCCAAGCGCCGAGGAAAGACAAATGTCTGTTGTGTTGCCGAAATAGCCCATCTTTCAGTCTAATTCAAAAAGAAAAGTAAGTGAAATATTTCTGGTGACAGTTTGTTTATGGTGGTTAATCTTCTGCTGTTTGGATATAAACAGTGCGGTGTTCCCCGAATATTACCAATTTTCTAAGAACGGGGACATTAAAACTTTAAAATGACTGAGTAAGATATCACAAACGGGGCTTTGGTGCCACCTGCTGGTCGAATTTAGCAAGTTTCACCCACCAAGGTTAAAGAGGCCTCTGGAAACTTTGTGCTGAAGAGTGTAGTTTACTTCCAAATCTCTGGTAACGTCTCTCTTTAAAAAAAAAAAAAAAAGAAACAAAAAAGTAGTAAACTCGCTGTAGGAAAGTTTAGACCCTATAGCTCACTAAGCCATAGTGTAACTAATGTGAATCAGGAGCCACGAACAGTGCTGATCATCAATCGGTTACTCATCCATGAAGAGTTCATTTACTGAGAAACTCCAGGAGAGTGTCAGGCTGTCAGCAGAACACAGTCTTTTTCCGAAATGGTACAGTACCTCCAAATCTGCTGATCAGTTCCTCTTCATCACTTATTTATTCAGTGCTGGTGGGATTTAATTTGTGACATGTTCACACAAGTGCCCGGCTTTGTGGAATATTTTGACCTTCCCAACGAATGCAGGAAGTTCAAATTACCTAAAAAGGATTGTCCGGAAATGGAACGATGGTGGAAAACTAAGCATATATATGTGCAAGGAAAGACATTCCTAATAATAATTATATACAGTTATGGTCAGAAGTTTACATCCACTCACAATGGGCATGAATTTCATGGACATTTTTGGTCTTAATAATTTCTTTGAACTTTTCTTTTTCCAGCATGGAATGATTGTACAGCATACATCTTTAATGACTTTAAAAAACAAAAATTTGATTTTATTTTGTACAAATATATACATACACTCACTTAACTCTTTTAATAAGTGGTGCTGAAGATATTAGATTGATTGACAGCACTCATTGGATTGACCAATCCTCAGAACAATGGTATAGTCCAAGGAGCTCAGTAAAGCTCTGAGGAGAACTGCAGATTTACACAAGTTGGGAGGCTCTCTGGGAGTTATTTCTAAACAACTGCTGATTCACAGATCATCGGTTCAAACAACTGAACGGGAGAACAAGTTATTCGGGTGTGTCACCGCTTTGCCAAGGTCAGGAAAAAGCCCCAAACTGTCACCCTCAGGTGAGAGGAAATTGGTTAGAATGTTCAGGAAGCACCAAGGCTCAAGCCCACCATGAATTGGTTTTACATGGACCAACAAATACCAAGAAAGAAGCCACTGCTCCAAAACTGGCATTTTTAAGCTTGACTAAAATCTGCAGCTGTCCACTTGGACAAGCCAAATGTCCTCAGGTAAAAAGTTTTATGGTCAGATGAGACAACGATTGAGCTATCCGTCCACCGTGATGAAAGACATGTTTGGAGGTGTAAAGGTGAGGCCTTCAAACGTAAGAAAACTGTACCAACTATTTAGTGGTCGTGGCATCATTCTCTGGGGCTGTTTTGCTGCCACTGGTACTGGTACATTGCACAAAGTGGGTGGGATGATGATGAAGAAGGACTACCTCCCAATTGCTCTACTTCTTTGCACACATGCTAGATGGTTGGACACAGATCAACAGGACAATGATCCCAAACACACATCAAAACTGGTTTTCGGCTGGATAAAACAGGCTAAGTTTAAGCTTCTGAAATGGCCTTCCCAAGCCCCGACCTGAAGACTGTGCTTAAAGGCTGGGTCCGTGCCAGGAAACCAGCAGGTTTAAATGAACTCTACCAGTTCTGCCGAGAAGGGTTGTGAAATATCCAGCTAGAATCATGCCAGAAGATTGTTGATGGCTACCACAAGCATCTGCTTGAGGTGCATGTGTGTATATACTGTGTGTGTGTATATATTCGAGCCTGTATCCATTTGGGCATTTGTAAACTGAACACAGCTGTATATATGTGTGTTTCTAGTATTTTACACTATTATATTTTCCCCACACTAGCCTAAACACATACACACCCCTACAGTCATCACACATTACCAAAAGCAAAAAAAAAAAAAATCAGATTGAGAACCACAGCAGCTTTAATCAGCTACAGTCACAGATGAATATCTGTTGTCCACCCACAACATAGATGATTCATTTTTTTGTGACTGTTTCTGTGGCTGCTTTACATGTAAATGATGCCCATGTGGTGTTCATCCACATTATTCCTTTAATATCAGACGCTCTACATAACAAGAGCATTTGCAAGGTTTTCCAGTCATATTTACTTGTTATAGCCCTTCACTAACACACCACTGATTGTGCCTTTTATGTATTATATTTATAATTTGTTTAATGTTTATTCATTTCTTTTATTCATTACATTTCGATGTTCACAGAGGTTTATTGTCTAAGAAAATATTAAAGATTAGATCGCACATAATGCTCCGTATAAACAGCAATTCCAGAAACTGGGGATGAGCACAGAGCTGCGTTAAAGGGCTTCTTTCTTATCATATTCACTTGCAGCCACGAACGATGCTGCCAGTCAGGGATTGTGAGCGTAAATCCAAATGATCTGTATTTAAACAATTATCCGAGATAACTATCTTTTTTGTCATTTAAGTACATAGCTCGAAGACGAACTCTGAAAAATGAACCGAGCACAAAGCCACAGCGCAGAGACGCAATCTTTCCAGGCAATCATCTTCTCAGGAGATTAGTACTTAGAATTGAAACTGTTTAGAAAAAGTCTCTCAATTTGTTTACAGAGACCTAACTTTTGACAAACCAGAGAAATTAAGGAACTTTCCCAGAAAGGTTAGTCAATCTCCTGTATAGTGAGGCATACTTAATTACTATTGCTACGAGTTAAATGGTGTTTTCTGTCATGTTTGAGGTATTTAGGATTGTAATTACCAGCCCCTGTTGCCTCACACAACAATGTGCATTTTGTTTTGCAGCAGCATGAGAAGCCCTTCTCTTGACATTCTCATGGCAGGTTGATCTATATAATTTATATCTGTGAGCCACTTTCAGCTTAGCTGTGCTGAACTGCGGTGGTTGATATATGAGACATGTTAATATTTTACCCTGGTTAAACAGAGTGTATGTGTAATCCAGTGTATGACTTTATCTGATGCAAAAATATTAGCTAATGTGGTCGACTCACAGATTCATTTAGCACTGAATATCACACCCATTTTTCCTTTTAGATAGATTACTTCCTCCTACCGTGTAAAACATTCAATGAAAAGTAAACACACACACTCACTCACGCTGCATTGTCAGAGCATATGAGAGCACATGTGAAATGGATTATTAATGAAGAGGGATGTTCAGTCGCCTCCTAGCGGTAAACTGGGAAAAGCATTATCCTCTTCCTTAAGTTTCTTAAGGTCCCCCATCAAAAGGTTTACCCACAGAGCTCTGCTTTTGCTTATTTGACTCGTCCATAATGCAACAAGAGACCATTTGTCATTGACAAAGTCGGCCATATATGGGTAACCCGAGGGCCTCTAGGTGGCATTCCTGTCCGTGTTCAGGTTACGCGGGCTGATGAGTGGAAATACCAGTTTGTGTCTTAAGGAGAAAAATGAATAATCAGCAGTTTGGTCACTGTCTGCTGCTGTATGCATGCACCCCCTCCACAGTCTGTTAGGTGCAAACTTCACATCATCGTTTGGTGGATTTCAGGTTTTTACGCAGATCCTTAAACTAAAGCCACATAAGCGAGTAAAGCCAACGTTTAATACTTAGCTTTAGTTGTTTTAAAGTAGGAGGATTTTCACTTTGCTCTTTCAACTTACCCCTGATTTAAAGCTTTCTCCCCTATATGCTCAGCTTTTCATGACAGTTGGGTTAATCCCCACTTCTTTTCAGCTAGCCCAACACTGTAATTTTTTGTTGTTGTTATGTTTCCTTTTACATTTAAAATTAGGCAAGATAGGACATGCAAATCAGTAACTGAAGAGTGTGGCTGGTTCTCATGCTCAGGCCTATGTTAGCCCAACCCTTTCTTCCACTCTTCCCTCCCTCCTATCCCTTGCCAAACAGGATCTGTAGGATCTTACACAGTCATTTTCTCAGGAGACAGGAATGTCAAAGCACAAGCTTTGTGCCTGCTGGAACTTGCTCCCTACATTCTGTAGAACCTCCAGGAAAAAGTACAGAATGAGTTACCCGTACATCCATTTAATTTCCACTCCTGTGTGTGGCATCAACCGCTAGTTAAAACGCCGTGCCGGATGTGTTCTAGACACACGTTGACTCACTACTGAAATTAGGTTGTCTGGTATGCCACCCTGCCCTATCTTAACAAGGTGTCCTTGGATTCACGTCCCTTTAGTTTGAAAGGCGATTTGTTTCATTTTACTCATTTTTATTTCAACGTCCCATTTTCTGGAGACATTTGTTGTCCACACCATTCACACTCAGGGAACAAAAACACAAAAATGGTTTACGAGATATGAATTTTAGGTCTTTTTAATTGTCTGGTTTGTGTACAGTTTAAAAGCACATTTTACAGCAGATAGGCTAGTCACTTAGACTGTAAAGCACCCAGGGGTATCAGATTATAAATATAATACAGTGTAACTGGCATTCAGAGAAATGACACATTTACAAAAAGAAATGTAAAGGATTTTTTCCCCAATCATCCCACATCACCATCTACATTATCTCAGCTTTTCAAATGCTATCAAGCAAGCGGAGGATAGAAATGTAACAAAATATGTCGATGTCCCAAATAATGCTACATTTGTTTGTGTTGCTGTATTAAGCTTGTAGATGCGGAGATCCAAATTGACAGCACTCCTGCATCTGTAAGCTCGCTCTGTCAACTCCTGCACTGGCATTTGCAGCCAGACAGACAGCAGAGCCGTCTGCAGAGTGGCAGTGAAATGTTAAAAGTCTCAAAGAGTCCAGTTTCCACCAGGATCAGATGCCATTTCTACTTTAATTGACAGACCAGTGGCTGGGCGTTAGCACTGAGCTGCTTGTGGACTCTTTGCGGCACAGATTTGGGCTGTGGCTGTAGGTGGGGGAGTGAGTGACACTTGGACTGCTGGGCGGTGTGGAAGAACAGGAGGAAGACTTGGATTTAATCTGTAGCCACTTGTCTCCCAAAGCCTTGGCAAAGTGGTCGTCGACGGACACGCTGATGGAGAGCTGCTGGGACTGAGCTTTCTGGTAGTGAACACCCAAACTCCTCTGGAAATGCTCCTCGAGGACGTTATCATAGTTGTCTTTGGGAACCACTGCAATATAGAAGACGAATGGCAAACCTTTACATACACACCTAAGTGAGTCAGTAAAAGTGCGTGGTATGGCTGTGCTATGAGGCACGTGTGATGACTAGGGAGTGACCTTCTGGGTAAATGAGCTCATTCCAAGTGAGTGTGAGACTGACCTGATGAGTGGCCCACGGATCTTGAAGAGGGGTTTCGTAACGAGGAGGCGCAAGTGATCACAGAGGGACGTATCTGGAAAAAAAAAAAAGAAAAAGAAATGGGTCAGTAATTAGACTCAAAGTAATTAGACTTGAAGCACAGGTTGTAACCCTGGTTTTAAGCTTTCGTTTCATTTCACAAACTTTGTGTTTTTGTTCTGACTTTGGCTAAACCTGACTGTGTACTCGCTCTTCAACTGCAACAGTTTAAATTAAAAACAACACGATCTGAAAACCGATTAAACTGGTTGGGTTTGCGCGTGAAAGTCAGCTCCCTCCCAGTGTGGTGGCATAAACAGGTCAGAGAGAAAGCAGTCTGTTTGGTCTTGTTGATGGCATTCCTCCCTCCATTACTCACATTTTCTTCCCGAATCCGGCTGGATTGCATAGCTCAGGCAAGCTTAGGCTTGCAGACACACTTAGACGCAGAATGCTTGTGCAGCTGGATTCACTGACTACAGATAATGGACCCCTGTGGTTGGTGGCCTGAAGCTATGCTGAGGTTATACAGTAGGGTAAACAGTATGACCTCCTAAATACCCTGTGTTCTAGACAGGCTTTGCTGAATTACCTGGATTTGACTGGAAGAGGTGCCTTTATTCTTTTCCTCTGCGCTTTCAGTTTCTTTTCTGGGTTTCTTGATGAGGGCAAGGGGTTCATCCATGACTGGTGTGTAGTACACATGGGTGGGCAGAGGGCTGGTGGGGCTGGGTGTTGGACTCAGGGTTTGTGTTGGACTCTGCTGGCTGCTGAACACTGCTGGGGCTGCTCTCTGGGCCAGCCTGCTTCGGCTCATCGCTCGCTCTCGTCTGAAACAATTATTTGAAAGAGTTTCAGACCCTCGTTGCTGTCTTTTTTTTTTTTGACAGAATTTGCATTTAATAAGTTGAATCTATCAAAAGAAAATGTTCTTAGGAAAGTTAAACAGCTCGACCAACCTTTCCTCCAAAGTCAGACCTCTCTCGTGGCTGCGCTTGCGTTTGATTGGATACACCGTTTGGGTTCGAGCCCGGTCGTGTGTCATATGTCTGTATCTGTCTTCGCTTCTGAGATGAGGCTGACCTGCAGAGCAAAATTAAAATGCGGGATTAGAAGAAGCATGCAGACTTTCAAAGAAACACGACCCCATCAGGGGTGCCCGCGGTCCCTTTGCCAACGCCGATCCTACGTCAGATCACTGACGGTATATTGTGACGTTTGTGATTGTATCTAACTGGCAATGATGTGAAGCAGTGATGACTAACTGCTTGTTTTGATCCATGACATCAACTTGCACGACTGCTTTTCGTGGGAAAGCGTTTTTTTTTTTTGTCACCGTTAATCGTAAACTCCGTTAAGCTGTAGAACTCGATTTACCTGATCAGTGAGGGTTACAACACTTCACAGCTGATTCAATGCTAACGGTAAATGTTGTTTTTCTACATATTGGCATTCAGCCCAGTCACACGCAAACAAGTTTTTTTCCCCCTGTTTGGATGGAGTGCAAAAACATCAAACTGCTCTCCGTGTCTGAGGACCCCGATTTGGGCGTCAACCATTTGTGAAAAGGCCATCAAGGCGAAACACGTACACATTCTGGATCTTTGCAATTACACAAGTCGAAACACATCGACAGGCAGCTGCTGATGTCAGTGGCTTGTTCAATCAGAGGAGTTTAAAGCATGTCTACAGTGCAGGACAGACACACTAAATGGGCTGGATGTCTCAGTCTTTTGCAGGTTTATCACCCATCAAATGTCAACCAAAGCCACACAGGGGGGCGTTTGGGCAAATCAGCCTGCAGTCACATCCCCAGGCTGATGTGTAATGCATGCAGCCAAAACACAAGCACTGTTTGAAAATGTAATGGCAGCACAATTGCACTGTATGTTCCGTTAACACTTGGAAATCCACACTGACGGGCAGCAGTGCTAAACTGTATTCAAATCAGCCAATGGATGTATTTAAAGAAACAATAGTCTGTGGTGCCACACTGAATTGAGACAGTCTGTTTAAATTGGTTTTGCATTCCTAGAGAAAAACAAAACAGCCTTCACGCCCACACTGCTCACTCCAGTTCACATTTCCTAACATCTAAACTCTCCAATAGCACATGTGAGCTATTCCTTCACACAGTGTGGCTTTGTGGAGGGGGGTAGGTATAACCACACCTATGCTGATTTTCTAATGCCTCGGGCATGGTTATTTCTTCCTTATTAGCAGAGGGAAAATGCTTCCTGACCTTTTGGTTCACTGCATTTAAATCTGATTTTATTGTTACCCAACAGAAACGCATGGTTTAGAAAATCTCAGTTAAAGCCTCAGGTGAGTATTTACAGAGTCTGTATGTAAGATTCAGTGTATTAAATATATTAACCGAAAAAGCCAAACGTGGTTCTAGCAGTACACATACTTGATTGTTTACTTATCGCTGTCATTTGATTGTCACCTTATCTGATTCTTTCTGCCTGACTTCACCTAAATATCACAGACAGACTAAATGCCACTTAATTAACACAGATGTTGTATATAGTTCATATCATATTGAGAAATACATATTAAATACACATACTAATAAGTAAATGATATGGCACAACCACAGCAGAGATTTATTTCCACAGATCCAAGTATCCACTGTCATCAAGAAACATGAGGACATTTTTAAAAAAGCGTAAATCGAGCTTACCTTCTAAAATGTAGACCTTGAAGCCACTGCTCATCCGAGTTATGTATTGGAAGTTAGCCACAGCCATCGCTCCTTATCTTTGTGTTGCTGAGCCCAAATACAGAGGAACACCTTGACTGCTGGACTTTACAGGACACAAAGAGCCTCAGTTATAGACTGTATTGGAAAGGTAATGAGACGCTGGTTCTGAGCGCCGTCAGGTAAAGTATCAGGTGAGTGCGGACAAACCTGTGACTCATTTCCTGCCTTTCCATTGGCTGCTGCCGGGCCAATGAGAAGCCCCGGTTCACTCATTATTATTACTGTACAGTTGGGAATGTCCCTGCAGTTAGGCCCATCGCTAAAGTAGAAAAAAGGCGCTAAATGTCACAGTATACCAGACTTTACTCTGATTAGAGAACTGTTTGCTTTATTCGGCACTTTCTCTTATACGAAAAGTTCCATCCTGAAAAAACAAACAAACAACCCCCCCGTCATCAATTATTTTCTTTCAGTTCCTTGTAGAGTGTGCCTGCGGGTTTCCCCATACATGGAATCAACACCTGTCCCCCTCCCACCTCCCTCCTAATCTGCAATCTCACCAAACTGCATTTTTCCGAGTGCTTAGCCCACCGGAGCTCCAGTCATTCTTCTGACCTGCCCATACACGCATGCAGCTGTACTCTGAGCCTGCCTCACCAGTAATCCGAGGGCTTTTGTTGATGGCCAGACAAAGACTCCCTAAGTACTGAAAATGTTGCTGCCGCCAAGAAAAAAAAAAAATCTTCTGAGAGTGTAATGCGAGTCTGACGACATGTAGAAGGCCTCGGAGGCAGCTCACTTAGATACGTGACAGTTCTAATGAAAAAGGGGGGAAATCATTATTAATGTCATTGTTTTAAGGTGTATCTGTAAAACTTATTGAGAAATACCATTTTGTGCTGTCTGGACTTTGTTGATATACAAGTGGGAGATTTCTACTTGTGAGTTTTACCCTAACAGGTTGGTGAATTTTGTTTAACGTGATAAAAAGCTACTCTTTTAGAAGTCCCACTGTTCATACGTGCATGGAAAATATTAGGTTTAATTTAAGCTCAACAGTGCCCCCTTATGTCGTACAAAGCAATAGCACGGTCAGGGGTAGGAAAATAACTTGTGGGGGGAAAAATGCAGTTTAACGTTTTAAAAATGAAATGAATGTGGTTATAAATCTGCAAGTGTCCAGGGAAGCTGTAGAAGTTCTAGTTTTGCAACGATTGTCCAGCGGCAATCAAGGCATTTTGGCTTGCTGTACTAACAAAAACTTATTCTACAATTTCAGTACAGCCACAAAGAATCTGGGTTTAGTTTTATACTAAACAGAAATTAAATACTGCTACTAGTTTTGATTCTATAAACATGATAAAGGGCTTCACACTCTTAATCAGCTGATAACATATAGTCACTGGGGTAATGTAATGCTTACACATCAGAAACGGTAATTGCTCAAGAGGATGTTCTAGGAAGTCTTGACTCACCCCTCAGTTCTTTATATTTTGCTAGGGAAACAAGATTTATTTCTATATGGAAACATACAGTATAAAGAACAAAAACATAGTTTATACAATTCTAATAAGCTTAAAAGTCAATATTTGCTATGACCACTTTTATTCTTTAACACAGCCTGAACTCACTTAGGTACGTTTTCTCATCATTTCTTTAAGAAGTCTTCAGGAATAATTCTCCAGACTTCCTGAAATATATTCAAAGCTCTTCTTTGGATGTTTCTATCTCTTGTTCTAATCTCTGTAGAGATGATCTCACACTCCTTCAATAATGTTGAATTCCAATTCATGACTGATGTGTTTTTCTACTCAGGTATGAATTTACTGTACTGGTAGTGAGCTGGAGATCAGTGTCATGCTGACAAATGAAGCTGCTGCCAATCAGATAATTTCCAGATGGTGGATCCAGATGTCACTTTTCCTTCTTGTTCATATTTTCCTAAATTTTGACAAGATCTTTAACACTTCTGCATTTCAGCAGCTTCAGACCACGACAGAGCCTCCACTGTGTTTTACAAATGGCTGTAGATACTTGCTTTACCTCTCTCCTGACCTCCTCTGAACATGTTGATGATGATTTGAACCAAAACCTAAATTTTCTAATTAAGACCTGTTGATTTTCAGTCCAGTTCTAGTGTAGTTTTGTGTACCGCAGCCTTCCCCCCCTGTTTCCCTTCCTTAAGAACGGCTTCTTTACAGCCACCCTTAAGCAGAGGCCATTTCTGATGAGGCTTCAGCAAACAGAACGATCACTGAAGTTCCAGATGCATGCCTCAGGACCTCCGCCAGTTCTTTGCTGGATTTTAAAGGAAGACTTCTTAAAGCCATGACCTTTAAATGCCCATCTGCTGCAGATAGTAGTTTAGGCCTTTGACTTCTTTTTATCCCCTGTTTGTTCAGTTTCCATCTGATTTTTTTAAGCACACACAGCATACCATGATCTCTCTTTTGGCATAAACACATTTGCAGAGAAAAACATAAAGGTAGGGCATTCATTAAGTTAGAAAGTAGCCTCATCACTTTGGGTAAAAGTTGAAATAATTATTTTCTGTTAGCCTAGCCAAACTTGCAACACTAATCTATATTTTAATTTAGTGAGGAGACTCCACTCCACTGGTGACTGCAAGCAAGAAAACACCCGAGGAAAACACCAATAAATAAATGACGCCGTCAATAACTATCATAAACCTCCTTGTATGATCCATGATAAAGCAGCTGTGTGCGACACACCACAGAGCACAAAGAGCATTCCCCTTTCTGAATAATCCAAAGTGTGTACTGATGGTTACCTGACAGATGCATTGCCTGGGCATGCCTTCATGATGGGCAGGATAATGACAGAAAAAAGGGGCACAGAAAAAAGAAAGGCAAGCTAGAGAGCGATTGCTTCTCTGGTTTGTGAACTAAAGTAATCGAGCCACTTTCTATGAAATCACACAAATTCTAATGTAATAAAACTAAAATCCATCCACTGAAAAATAAATGTAAACCAATGATACATTAATAGGCAGTTCACTATTCCCAACTCTTAAGATCGGAGCTAAATAGCGGTATTTTTTTACTAGCAAGCAATAGGCTATTTATTATCTCTAAAATGCATTAATGATTTAGATAAGAAATGCACCCGGCTCTAGGCCTCTATCCGTGTCTCTGTAGTTTCCGCCATATGGTACAGTTTCCATAGAGCAACCCATGGCTCCCAGGGGGGTGGGCTCCGAGTATCACTAACAGACGGCGCATCCCTCACTGTCTGTATCGACTCAGTTGAAAATCAAAAGTAACACCCTGTTTCAGCAGGCCTGACAACCCAGCAGTTGGTGTGCCGCTGCTGCTTTATTGGAGCCAGCAGGATGCCCGAATGAAATCAACACCCAGAGGTATTGCAGCCAACAGCAGGATCATGTCCAACAGCGAGCGACGCCCCTGCTTCTCCGCTCTCATCAGCACCACCCTGATACCCCCATCATGGAGCTTGTCAAGTTACAAGAATACTGACGAGAACAATGCCGGAAGTTCAACAACGCTAATAAGACTCAACAAAACAACAGCTCGCCACTTATGCGGTTTTAGCTGTGGCTGCTATTTTTACTTCTTTAGTTTAACTATGTCCAAACTCTGACGTCAATAAAAAATCAGCCCTAGATATGCATAGACTTTTCTTTCTTTCTTTCCCCCCAAAGAGACACCGGAAGTGTGGATATCACCCTGCTGCAACTTGACGACCGCGCAGCTCCTCTCTCCCTCAGGATGACTGGGAGTGACGCAGGGCAGACGGAAAAAACTGGGGCTTGATGAGAAGGACGGCGGTGATGCAGGAAGGGCTGTAGCTTTATTTATTTCAGCCTGATGCCTGACTTGCCTGTACGGAGGATATGAGAGTCACCCATATGCGAGCTTTTCTGTGACAGACAGGAGGTAATAACGAGGAATCATCAAGTCATCCTTGGGGCAGACCAGTTTGGATACACTCCCAGGTAGGCTTCATCATGCCCGGTTGTGGCTGTTACTACAGGCTGCTGAAGTGCTAGGTGGCTTTCTGGAAACAGGATACATGTTAAAAAATGTCAATAAATTTATATTTTTATTTGCGTCAGTCTTTACACGGAGACTGATAATTGGCTTGCACAATTTGCTAAGGTGAAGTAGGGCTGATTTCTTCTTGCATCTTAGCAAATTCTTTAAGCTACACCGTCACGACTCATCGCCACTGTTATGATCAGATAGTCGAGCTTCTCCTTCTATATTAACACGGGACCTGTTTTCTCTGTAGGTAACATCGGGTCCTGTTCCTGCACATGGGAAAGTAGCCTAGTCATTCATTTCCCCACTGAACACCGAGTTGTAAGTCGCATTCAGTGTATTTGGACCCCCACATCCTCCTCCTTCGTCATTTCAACAAATATCCACCATGAACTACCTGCGACGACGACTCTCGGACAGCAATTTCATGTCCAACCTACCCAATGGCTACATGACCGACCTCCAACGCCCCGATCCGCCGCAGCAGAGCCCCGCAGTGTCGCCCGGGCCGGCAGAGAGGCGCCAGTCCACCAGTCAGCAGCAGCAGCCGCAGCAGCAGCAACAGCAGCAGTCTGGAGGTGGAGGTGGAGGCTTCTTCTCATCCATTTCCAACGCCGTGAAACAGACCACAGCTGCTGCGGCTGCGACCTTATCGGAGGCAGCGGACCGAGCAGGTGTCTCCAGCAGCGCTAAGATCCTCCTGGTCATCGACGACCAGCAGACCGACTGGTAAGAGCAGTGCGCATTGGCAGCGCGCTGCCTCGTCTAGACAGCAAAAGTGTGCCAGACCGTGGGTTGCGGTGGCCTAACTCCTAGAAGGTCATATGATTCATCCGGTGTTGAGAGGTATCCTTCCATCACGTGAAACAACCGGTGGGAGGTTTTGTGCGCCGAAACTGTGCCATGGCAAAGGCGCAACAGACCGAAGGCAGAGAAGCCATTTTCATTTGACGATCAGCTTGTTTTTTCTTCTTGTGATCGATTCGTGTTGCATTCTGCTGATAATCTGAAATTACGCAAGTGCACTATGCGTTCATGGCCGCCATGAATATGGAGATTACCTATTTGTCAAATGAAGCGGCTGTAAGTGCAGAAGAAAAACGATTTCAGCAGACAGTCGAGCTTCTTTTCCGCGCGCATTATGCAATAGTGATAACAAACTAAGAAATTTGCTATTATCGAGACAGGATTGATATTCACAATAAACGGAAGCTGACCTGTCCTGATGTAACACCAGTAGTTTTATTTATACATCCATTATATATATAATATATATATATATATATATATTATATATATATATATAATATATATATATATTATATATATATATATTCTCTAAATTTCAAAATTTGCCAAAATAATGGCAAATATTAAATATAGAAAGGCAAAATTTTAAAATCACATCCATATATCAACTTTTTGATGTAATCATTTAACTTCTTGCTTTAAAATCAGGGTGAAGGTCTTCAGAGGAAGAAAGGTCCATGGGGAATTTGACATCAAGGTGGAACAGGTAAGTTTTGCTTTGTGATGCAGACTTGTAGATTGTCTAGGCCAATAGCAGACCAATAATCTATTTGTGAGGAGAAATGTGCAGCCTTATATTTATTACTACAGTTTCACTCAGTGGTCTTTCATGATGTAATCCACTAAGCAGCATTTTAACAGAAGAGAAGCCCATAAACATTTTAAAATCTTCTTTGCCTAAGGCATTTTCTTCTCCTACTATTTTAGTCTCTCTACCTCATTCTGGACTGACATTTCTTTCTTATGTGGCCTCAAAACAGGAAGGATGAATTTCACACAGAGCCTGATATTCTTTAATTGTGTCTTGTTCTGCTTGACCGCTGGCTCCAATCATCACCGCTGTGATTTCTGAAGTGTTTATTAGGGTTTGACCTTGATACTGTCCTTTCAGGCAGAGTTCTCTGAGATCAACCTGGTGGCCAATGCCACAGGTACCTACAATGTGAACATTGATGCAATTAGGAGTGGCCATAAAGTTACAAAGTAAGTTCTCTGCAAAATGTTTCTTTTTAGAAAAAAAATTGCAGCGCTGGTAAAACTACGAGTTTCTGCTGAAACGTTCACTGTGCCCCAAATGGAATGAATCATCAAACTGATTTGTTGTTTTTTTAGTGCTGTTAAATATTTTGCTCATGTCCCCTGAACCAGATCCTTTAAGCCAGACTTTGTGCTGATCAGACAGCATGCGTTCAGCATGGACAAGAATGGAGACCATCGTAACATAGTGATTGGATTGCAGTACGCTGGACTGCCAAGTGTGAACTCTTTGCACTCGGTCTACAATTTCTGCGACAAACCGTGGGTGGTGAGTAGGATTTAATTAAGGCATTCATTTAAAGCCAGCACATACTTAGTTGAGTGACATAGACATACTACGCAGCAGCATCTTTCTGTACGTTTCAGTTTGCTCAAATGTCTAGGCTTCACAAGCAGCTGGGCTCAGAGGAGTTCCCACTGATTGAGCAGGTTTACTATCCAAACCACAAGGAAATGGTGAGTTTTTGCCCTATGTCCTTCTCCTCTTCCTTTTCATTTGTTTTCATGGCTACTCTCTTCAAATAACAAGGACCTAGACCCATACACACACACACACACACACACACACACACACACACACACACACACACACACACACACACACACACACAACCTCTGCATGGGTCACATGTCAGGGGTGTAATTTACCTCCATGTCAATATTCAATCTTATGTAGCAGCTGAGAGCACTCACATTTTCTAAGCATCGACTTTTTTTTTTGTAATTGGTAGATGGTGAGTGTTTGATTTCTTGAGTTCCAAGTTAGTGTTGCTACAGTTAAACTGAGACGGGTTGGTGCAGAGCAGTTTAATTCCTCCCTGCTGTCACAGCCTGACAGTACTGGGCTGGCTTTCAGGCCATCAGTACCAATTGTAATATCTGCCCCGATCAGAACTGATATAATAATTGGTGTTTTAATCACTGGGGCACTACGAGAAAGTTCATTTATAAGAAATCTGAGCATGTTTTAATGTTCTTTTTGCAGATTACCTCCCCTCAATTTCCTGTAGTGGTAAAGATGGGCCATGCTCACTCAGGGATGGGAAAGGTAAATCTAGAGTTCTTAAGTATTTTCTCAGGTCCACGTGAACACGCTGATGTCACTATATTAATATTTTCACTCTTGCTGCTTTAGGTGAAAGTGGACAATCAGTATGATTTTCAAGATATTGCTAGTGTTGTGGCACTGACCAAGACCTACGCCACATCTGAGCCATTTATTGATGCAAAGTATGATGTGCGCATTCAGAAGATTGGCAACAATTACAAGGCTTACATGTGAGTGAAACTTCCTCTCAGGTTCATGCATGAAAATAAAAACAGTGAAAATGGTTAGAATAGAGTTAAGTCTTTATTTTAATTAACAGGCGAACATCAATTTCTGGCAACTGGAAAACCAATACTGGTTCATCTATGCTTGAGCAAGTGGCCATGTCAGACAAGTAAGAGCGCAGAGTTGAAAATGAAATAAAACTGTAAATCAAATTGTATCGCACTGCACTATAATAGGTCTGATTAATGTGTCACTGCAGGTACAGAATGTGGGTGGATTCTTGTTCCGATATCTTTGGAGGGTTGGACATCTGTGCTGTAGAGGCTCTACATGGTAAAGATGGCAAGGACTACATCATAGAGGTACTACATGACAATGATATCAATGTTTTCTATGATCTTAAGGGGAGTCCACTAATTATATCAAGTTGTGGTCTTTTAAGGTTGATGACTGTTCGATGCCACTGATTGGGGACCAGCAGGACGAGGATCGCGTTCATATTGCAGAACTAGTGGTTTCTAAAATGAACCAGACTGTTCCACGTACTTCAAGCTCTTCCACAGTCCGTACAGGACAGCCAGCACAGGTGCTCAAACAACAGACATGCTTTCCTTGCTCCAGCACACCCTAACTTTTCCTTATCTTCCACACTTTTAGTAGTAACACACTGTAAGTACAGTTAGATGCATAAATATTAGGACAGAGACTCTTTTTCTTGTCATTTTGGTTCTGTAGACTACCAAAATGAATTTTAAGTGAAACAACTCAGATGCAGTTGAAGCGCAGACTTTCAGCTTTAATTCGGAAGGTTGAACAAAAAGATTGCATTCAAAGAATTGCACACCTAAGGCAACAAACTGCCTCTGATGTGTTTTACGGATGGTGCGGTGTGCTTTAGATCTTGAGCTGCTCCACGGCTTCGCCATACTTTTCCTTGTCATCATTCAGGTAGAGGTTGATCTTGGTTTCATTTGTCCAAAGATTGTTTTTACAAAACTGAAAACTGGATGGCTTTTTTCGATGTCTTTTTAGCAAAGTCCAGCCTAGCCTTCTTTCTGAATTACAGTGGGGCAAAAAAGTATTTAGTCAGCCACCGATTGTGCAAGTTCCCCCACTTAAAATGATGACAGAGGTCAGTAATTTGCACCAGAGGTACACTTCAACTGTGAGAGACAGAATGTGAAAAAAAAATCCATGAATTCACATGGTAGGATTTGTAAAGAATTTATTCGTAAATCAGGGTGGAAAATAAGTATTTGGTCACCTCAAACAAGGAAAATCTCTGGCTCTCACAGACCTGTAACGTCTTCTGTAAGAAGCTTTTCTGTCCCCCACTCGTTACCTGTATGAATGGCACCTGTTTGAACTCATCATCTGTATAAAAGACACCTGTCCACAGCCTCAAACAGTCAGACTCCAAACTCCGCCATGGCCAAGACCAAAGAGCTTTCGAAGGACACCAGGAAAAGTATTGTAGACCTGCACCAGACTGGGAAGAGTGAATCTACAATAGGCAAGCAGCTTGGTGTGAAAAAATCAACTGTGGGAGCAATCATCAGAAAATGGAAGACATACAAGACCACTGATAATCTCCCTCGATCTGGGGCTCCACGCAAGATCTCATCCCGTGGGGTCAAAATGATCATGAGAACGGTGAGCAAAGATCCCAGAACCACACGGGGGGACCTGGTGAATGACCTGCAGAGAGCTGGGACCAAAGTAACAAAGGTCACCATCAGTAACACACTACAACGGCAGGGAATCAAATCCCGCAGTGCCAGACGTGTTCCGCTGCTGAAGCCAGTGCATGTCCAGGCCCGTCTGAAGTTTGCCAGAGAGCACATGGATGATACAGCAGAGGATTGGGAGAATGTCATGTGGTCAGATGAAACCAAAGTAGAACTTTTTGGTATAAACTCAACTCGTCGTGTTTGGAGGAAGAAGAATACTGAGTTGCATCCCAAGAACACCATACCTACTGTGAAGCATGGGGGTGGAAACATCATGCTATGGGGCTGTTTTTCTGCCAAGGGGACAGGACGACTGATCCGTGTTAAGGACAGAATGAATGGGGCCATGTATCGTGAGATTTTGAGCCAAAACCTCCTTCCATCAGTGAGAACTTTGAAGATGAAACGAGGCTGGGTCTTCCAACATGACAATGATCCAAAACACACCGCCCGGGCAACAAAGGAGTGGCTCCGTAAGAAGCATTTGAAAGTCCTGGAGTGGCCTAGCCAGTCTCCAGACCTCAACCCCATAGAAAATCTGTGGCGGGAGTTGAAAGTCCGTGTTGCTCGGCGACAGCCCCAAAACATCACTGCTCTCGAGAAGATCTGCATGGAGGAATGGGCCAAAATACCAGCTACTGTGTGTGCAAACCTGGTAAAGACCTATAGTAAACGTTTGACCTCTGTTATTGCCAACAAAGGTTATGTTACAAAGTATTGAGTTGTATTTTTGTTATTGACCAAATACTTATTTTCCACCCTGATTTACGAATAAATTCTTTACAAATCCTACCATGTGGATTCATGGATTTTTTTTTCACATTCTGTCTCTCACAGTTGAAGTGTACCTCTGGTGCAAATTACTGACCTCTGTCATCATTTTAGGTGGGGGAACTTGCACAATTGGTGGCTGACTAAATACTTTTTTGCCCCACTGTATAAGTGTCTTGCATCTTGCAGAGAACCCTAATCCTCTTTTTCGCAGGATGGCTTGTTTCACCTGCATGGAAAGCCCCCTTGACCGCATGTTGTCTGTTCGCAGTAAAATCTTCCAAATGCAAGGGACACACCTCAAATGAACTCCTAAACCCTTCATCCAATCTGAATGTGAATACCCTGAAATAAAAGCTGAGAGTCTACACATTATGTCCATTATATAACTATAATTGGAATATATTTCAGTAAAAAGGTAAAAAACAAAACAAAACCTGTGACAGTGTTCATATATATATGGACCTAACTGTATATTAGTGGGCATAAAAATATGAAAGAAACAATTAAAACAAGACTCAGTGAGCTTCAAGTCAACAGGATCTGCATTATATTTTCTTTAATCTTTTTAAAAACACATGTTGTGTTTCTAAGAAAAGTAGTGGGCCAAGCATGGATCCCTGGGGTACTCTAAATCTGAGATGGTCACATCAGAGAGACAATCAAATAACAACTTTAAACAGACCACACTGTGATTTACTTTGCCTGCAATGACTTGAATGGTGTGGAAGGATTCAGTGTAGGGTTAAGAGGAGTTTCTGGTTATGAGGTAAGTTAGAACGTAGATTTCCGTCAGAATTCTAAATGTGGCTTAAAATGTTATGAATGTTGTGATTAAGAGATTTGCTAGATCATGCTGTGGAAGAAAAATCTTCGGGAAACAAATTAAGAGACATTTAAAATATTTATACATTATCATTTTCTATGCTTAGCCATCAAATGAATGTCATTTTTGCTTTGTATTGATATTTTCCCCTTGTTAACTTGTAGAAAGCAGTTTCTCCTCAGCCAGTCTCACAACCGAGAGTCCCGCAGTCTCAACAGCGTCCTTCACCACAGGGTAAGAACTGGACTTTTAGGGTCTTGAAAGATATTTCAGAATTTGAATGTGATTCGTCTCCTTCTTTTGTTTATCTCCGATAGGTGGTCCTCAGCAAAGCCCTCCATCTCAGCAGCGTCCACAACCTCAAGGCCAACCTCCTGTACAGACCCAACAATCTGCTGCCAGCCCTGCCACTGGTGACCCCAGTAACCAGACTAAGGCAAGCCAAGGGCCTGCGACTCAAGGTCAGAGACCTACGTCTGGTCAGGGCTCTCCTCAGCGAAGCCAAGGAGGATCCCCTCAAGCTCAGAGGCAGCAGTCTGTATCGCAGCAGAAACCATCTGCAGGCCAAAAACCTCCACCACAGCAGAGGCCTGCCATGCCCCCTAGACAGCAGTCACAGGGAGGGACACAGCAACAGAGGGCTCCTGGCCAACAAGGACGCCCTGGAGCACCTACCACCCAGCAGCCACGTCCTGCCGCTCAGGGCCAGGGGGGCCCAGGAGGACGACCTCCTCTGCAACAGAAGCCTCAGCCTCCACAGAAGCCTAGTCAGGACAGCCCGGCTATGGGCGGCTCTCCACAACTAAAGTAAGTAGCTGTGAATGATAAATGGGATCGGTTTCACCTCATCCTTCAAGCAGAAGATCCCTTCTTATTGCCTGCACTGTGACATGCATGCCACATGGGAAATCTATTTAATGACAAATGAGCCACCCGAATGTGCATGGTTTATTGATTTTTACACTTTTCAGCCCTTCAGCAGCACTTTCACGTAACATAACATTTCAAAGTCTGTGCAGAGCGCCTGATACGTTAAAACAACAAGCGGAAGCCATAATGAAGCTACATATTGTGATATTTAAAGATCCCTTTAATGTAAATAAACTTTTGAACCTTGTTTACATATCTTGATTGTTGTGAAACTTATGAAACTAATGCCATCGACTGGCAGTGAGGCTACACATGTTCATCAGATATTTTAACATTATTAAACATAACTCATTGTGTGATAGCATACTTAGTTCAAAGCACAGCTTGTCTATTTCAGGTCAGTGTGAGAGCCTGCTGGTGCTGAGCGTCTCTCCTCTGCTTTCTGATTCACCGTGAGTTCGAGTCTCCTCTGCTCCTTCTTTACTCCATGTAAGACACACATGGAGTGGAGCAGACACATGCCGAGTGGAGGAAAGGAGAGATAAGTGGAGATAATATTACTAGACTTAATGACGTACCTCCAAGTGCAATAAAACTTCTAGGGTTTCCAAGACAAGACCATCAGGTCTAAGTTAATCCCACTGCAAGGCCTTAGTATCATGGAGTTTTTGAGTATCCATCTATCCATTTTCTTACACTTATCGCCGGGCGGTTTGGGGGAAGCCTTCCTTCTTCCCAGCTACCTTCTCCAGATTATCTTGTAGAATACTGAGGTGTGCCTCCGGGGCCTGCTCCCTGTAGGGCATACCCAGAACTCATCACCCAGGAGACACCCAGGAGGCATCAGTGTCAGATGCCCAACCCACCTCACTTGGCTCCTTTCGGTGTGGAATAGTTGCAGCTCCACTCTGAGATGCTCCTGAATAGCTAAACTCCTCACTCTGTTGCTAAGGGGGAGGCCGGTTACCTTTGGAAAAAGCTCATTTTGCCCCTTGTATCAGCATCTCATTCTTTGATTACTACCCAAAACTAGTGACGATGGGTAAGCGAATGGGCATAGATCAACTGGTAAATTGACAGCATCGCAGTGGAGCGCAGTGTTTGAATCACCGCAGATGCTGTAAGGGCCTCAGGGTGAAACTTTACATTTTTTAATTAAAAAAAAAAACTGGACACATGTAATCACATATTGCCGTTTTGCCATCAGGTGTTCAGACAATTTATTTATTTATACAGTAAGCAAAATCATTCACACCTTAATTTAACTGGGTTAGCCATGATTCAGTAGTCTCTGCCTGCTTTAGCTTCTTTTCTTCTTGCTGCGCTCTGCAGTGTGTCACTCTTTCCTCTTATGAGGAGCACAGTGAGCCTCCACAGCAGTACTGACAGCTGCGCCTATCCAGCTGCAATGTTCCATCGGTGCCACACAGGACACCTTATATCGGGTTGACGTTGCTGCGTGAACAGAATGTAACCTAAATAATTCACAAAATTAGGAATACATAATCCTGATTTTGGATTTAATATTTGAGCTTCTTTATGCTCTCCTGACAATGAGACATAAACCCTCTTATTGTCAGTCGCATACAAAAACATGCATCACTTTGCTTTCCAGAAAAGTCATTCAATATCCATATCATATTTAAAGCTAACTTGAAATGATAAGGTAATACTGAATGACCCGAGGAAAGGAATGCGCTTTATCATTGTTTACTGAGCCTTTTCTCTCATTTCTCTCCCTCTCTCTGTCTTGCCTTGCGCCAGTCTTTTCATTCCATGGGTTTGCTGCATGACTTTAATAGCCTCTTCCTCTCCTCTATTGCCATTTTCCTCTCTTTATAGCAAGTCCCAGTCTCTTACCAATACCTTCAACATTCCAGAAACCCCAGCGCCACGAGCCAGCCTTAGCCAGGACGAAGTGAAGGCCGAAACCATACGCAATCTACGCAAATCTTTTGCCAGTCTCTTCTCAGACTGAGACAGCATAAGCCCCTCTTCCCTCTCCTCCTGAAAGAAAAAGAGACAGGCAAACTGAAGGACAGACCCCTTCTTCCCCCTCCGAACAAGGACCAACCGGATGCCGTCTTTAATTCATGTACACTGAGCCTGATGTGAAAATGTACACACTTGATAGCCACTGCCTACATGGTTTAACTCTTTTAAAACGAACAAAAAGTAGAATACAGTTAGGCACTGATGTCTTAAACATTCCCTGCCTTGCCTCGAGCTTAAGTAATCATACTCAAAACTGTTTGTACTCCACACTGAAGCCTGTATATGCATGAATACGAAACAAAACAATATTGCTCTCACTTGTTTGTTTGTGCTGTAAATTCATCGTGGCCGTTATGTTCAAGTAACTTGAGGCGCTGTATTAAAGTTATTGGGGAAGGGAAGATAGCCAAATATTTTATTTTAAATAAAAAAGCAGCACCTAGTTTATTATCTCCTCTTATCTAAAAATTGTATATTTGTGTCATAGTAAAAACAGTGAAAATGTAGCTAACCCCTAATTTTGAATAAAGAGCTGTCAAACTGACTTAAAGCCACTAAACAATCTCCATGTATCCTGTTAAGGTTCAAAATATCCCCTCCTTATTTTACAATCCCCAATAAAAACAAAGCTACACCACTATTTCACACTTCTACTCCTTGCAAAATTAACAACAACATCCTCCCTGCTTTCCTGATTCCCTAATTATTTTTGTATGGCGCCCAAATGACTACAGCTGCACACAAAGGATGTCCAGTGTTTGCAAATGCTAGATCTGTTCAAGCTGTAGATCGCTCATGGTGATGTCTTAGCTGCATGTCAACAGGAGGCAATGGTTGCATTTCCCAACCCCTGACTTTGGCGCTTGTAACTGTGTTGTCACATGTAGTTAAATTAGCTAGTATTAGAGTAGTTGGTGTCGTGAGTATGTCGTGGCTCCCGATTTTCTTCGTTTTTTGTTTTTTTTTTGTTGCAGAAGAACAAAAGCCCAGCAGCTCTCTAACTTGAAAGCATGCCTTACACAGACAAGAGCGTCAAATCAAATGGAGCTGTCTCAGGGATGTCCAGTTGATTGTGACACTTGTGTGTGGGTGAGGGTCTTCCATTGCAGTCTTATAGTGGTTGTTTACAAAAAAAAAGAAGGAAAAGCATGCATTTTAATGAGCTAGAATGTTTTATTATTTCAAACACATTTGCACACAGAGTATATCTTGCAAAATTATACTTGAATACAATGGTTTTCAGGTTTATTCATCTGCCACTTGACAAAGCAGGGTTCCTGCTTTGGGGTGCTGCCATGTCTGTAACAGGCATGGTACAGTGGGATCCAGTGTAGACAGGGTTGGCGACTGTTCAGGTACAGTTAGTGAAAAATATCGTTACTTACAGTTTATTTTCCTCAATTTTCAAAGCAATGTGACAAGAAAAAAACTGCTAACCAACTACTGAGTTTAATGGATGTACAATAGGTTTTAGGAGGTCTTAGCAGTAGGTCAGCATAAGATGCACTCCAAAGCACACTTAGCCAAGGAATGTTACGTTTGTGAAATTCATTTGTACCACGTAGAAAGGTAAAACGGTGACAAGTTTTAGGAATGCCAACTGCACGATGCTTCTCTGCAGTTGATTTCACAATTCTGCCACGCATCTTTTGCACCGACAAAACTTTCTTTGATCACGTCTCTGAAAATCCAAGCTGTCACTGAAGAATGTTTTATCTTCTCCAGGCACTATAAATGTCTTCCAGAAGGAGTGCTATAGATTCATATGGTGATATAGTATGGCAATATCACGCTTTTAGAGAAGACCCAATAGTGAAAAGTCTAAGTGAGTCCTGGTCCCCCTGCAGATTCTCCATGTTGCCTGTGTTTTTCTGTTTATGTAGCCACAGTGACCCCTTGTGTTCAATGGTGCATAAACGTGTGAATGTTGTTTTGTAACCTGGTCAAACCAAATAGATGTTGTGCAAAGCTCTGAGTGATCCAGATTGTCACTTTCCTCCCCTGCTGCTATTTGTGCTTGCTGATATTCTGTGTGTCTCTAAACTTTATAGTTTATCTGGGAAAATAGTTTACTTACTTTTTCCTTTTGTACATGCACAATTTTCTTGTGAATGGCACTGCTATATGGTGCTTGTTATGTTATGCATAAGTAATGGAGGGCTTCATTTTTACATTTTACAGTTACTCAGTGTCAGTACGTAACTGTCAGATTCATAATGGCACAGCCGAGAATAAATAAGAGAGGAGTAATTTTCACACTGAGTGTGTAATTTATGAAAATGAGCCATCACATTTAGCACTGATGGTTATCTTTGAAAAACCGTGCCGTCCTTTCACTCAGAGGTGTCTTTGCCAAACTGAGAAACACCATTTGCCACGAGCCCTCTGGAGCCTGACAGGATGAGCCGCGACGGCAATGCAAAGAAGTCATTTTGATATATTTTTTTTTTATATTTTATTTTTAAGGGTTTACATTATTTATGGTTGATATATCTGACTGTGAATGTACATTGTCTTCTTTCTTAGAGCTCCTTTTATTGTTTTTTAATTCCACCGTATAATCATTGTGAAACGGTAAAATCCTTACAAGTTCGAGTGAAATTGATTGTCAGTTGATGCCTGCCAGAGTTCAAAATGTACATCATAGATGTAAGTGCAAAAATCAAAAAGCTGAGGGGTTTTTTGTTAATCAAAAATAAGATACTGCATAATATAAATCATGGTGGATTATTGAAATAAATGTAATAAAAATGATATTGATGTTATATGCAATGTAGCTATATTATGTGAAAATGAGTATGTTATTACAACATGCACATGTCCAATAAAACCTATGACAAATAATGACTGGTTTATTTGAGAAAAGTAAAGTAAAGTAGGTTTTAAAAGATGCTGACACAGCTGCTGAATAACTGTAACAACACCAGTTAGTCTAAATGATTAATGCAGAACTGTTGAGTAACATTCATATTCAAATTTCTTTTCATTTTGCTGTCCTTGATGATCAGAGACATCATTGGTTTTTCAGTTTGTTTTTCACACTTTTGTTAACATTTATTTTTATACCGTAGCTTACTTTATCCATCAGGTTGAAAATTACAGGGTTGCATTTTATTTTATTTTCGTTTTTCAGTTATAAAGAAAAAAAATTAAAGGATATATATAATAGTAATTCATAGACTTTAGGTATTTATATTAAATGGGTACAGTGCATAGTATTCGGTTGTGAATGACTTCAATATTAGGCAAAGTATTGTTTATACTCTGCATTGCTGTAAGCTAGCGTCTAAAAATACGGTGGCCCTGAGAGGTCAAATGCACTGCAACTAAAGATACCACCAGCAAATAGAAAGATGCTAACCCTTAGCCCCCCAAAAACACAGCCCACAAAAGTAAGTTGAACAAAAACAAAAAAACAAAAAAACAAAAACAAACAAACAACCCAAACCCATAGCAAAACATAAAAACAACATAAGTGTTTTGGGGAAGATAATAATGCGATGGACCAGCAACAAAAGTGACAGAAGCCAAAATGTGCGAAGAACTGCACCGAGGGGACTCATCTGTGTTATGAGTTAGAAAAAGATTCAGGTAATCTGTGTTTTAATCACATGATTCATACAATACTGTAGATACATGTTTGCTATTAGCTGTTTACTGCTAGCTTGTCCCTGCCGCAGCTGTTCCGTCACGTTATTGTCTCCCCATGAACACTTGCCGCCTGTTTTTTTAAAGCGTTTTCTACTTCAGTTGTGTGTGTGTTATATTTTTTTCTATCTAGTTCAATTTTGTTTCATTCTACTTATGTTGTGTTTTGTGTGCTTTTGAAGGATTTTTTTATTTGCTGGTGTTTTGTTAAATTGCAGTGTGTTTGACCTCTATAAAGAAATGTCTTTTAAGAATGTCCTATAGTTTGACAGTATTTTTCAACATAAAACATACTAATGTGGCCACAAGGTGGTGTGGGCCTACAGTCTCACTTCTGTAAGCACACAAACACCACATTCTACCATATTACAATGTAACATGTTTATTTGGCCATTACAAATGACTTATAATACCGTATATGCATTCCTTTTCCATTGAAAGTGTTAATTTATATTAAAAAAAACATCCTTTTTAAGTAAGTAAAAGCATCCTGAGTGCTACAGAACAGAGCCCTGGGATTTTGTATGTATTACTACTCAGTCATTATGATTCATCATTGTATTAGCAATTATGTTAACATTGCTGAAAAACAAAGTTTTTCTTGATGCTCAAATTTTAATCGTACGACTTTAAGTCACATAGAAAAACGGAAATCAAAGCCCGCACACTACCAAACAAAACTAAACTGGCATCCCTTCTTTGTAGAACAGAGACCCATTCATGGTGTTTGAGTAAAAACACAACTATTATGTTCCCAAATTTTGGGGCTTTCACTCGGGCTTAAAATCTGAATGCACCAGCTGCAGCTGAGAGAGGCTCGATACTATTAAGCACCCCCTCTAATGTGAAGAGGGATGTGTTTCATTGCCTTGTCTTGTACAACTCAGTGAGTGCATCTACAGCTGAAAGAACTACATTAAAATTAGATTTTCCTTTCCCTCATCTGTCTGTGCAAATGTTTTGGCAGGTAGGTTTTATGCAATGAGAGAGAGGGAGAGCGTTCAATTTTAATCACCAGATTGATTCTTTTTTTTCTTCCTTGAAAGTTTTCATTGCAGACAAAAGTGTCTGGAGTGCAAAATCCAATTTGCAGGCAGGATGTTTTATAGCTGCTCGCTCATGAAAGGTCACCGTGGTTTTTAAAGCTCTATCTGCTTTGCTTGCAGTTCTTATCTGGCTGCCCGGTGGCTGTTCCTTCCTGACAAATCTAGGTCTGGTTTGCAGGTAAAATGCTCATCTGATCAGGAAAGAAAATCTAATAAATTTAAAAAAATATATACATTTTTAATGCGTCATGAAATGTGTTGTGCATGGAATGAACTAAAGAAGTAAGGGAACAAATGACAGAGTCCTTTGATAAAACCCAGAAAAAAAGATGGAGGGGTGGGGGTGTGACAAGCCCAAAATAAATGTGACATCATTTAATTTACATTTATCACAGACTAGAGACATAGAGGGGTAAAATTTATGTAGCATGACCTTAGAATAATGAAAACAGTGAATCACTTTAAACTGAATTAACCAGTGGCTGCTGTATTATTGAACAACTCTTAATATAAGACTTTGCAATCCTTCACATTTCATTCTTTTCTCAAGCCTCCATAAAAGATAAAAGCATGAAATATGAATCACAAATATGAACTTTGTACTGTTTGGTACTAGAAAAAACACTAGTACCACAGCTTCATTCACAAAATGAAAAGTATATAACAAGTTGCGTATCCACACCTCGTATCAAAAGTGTTGTCTAGCAATGGTGTGGTAAGTAATCAAACTACAAGAGAATTTATCAAATGTATATTTAATTTGAATAAGAATCTAGTGAACTTCTGAGATCATAACTATTACTTACCAATTGTAAGACATTAAGAGAGCAACAGCGAGTGACGCATGTTTTTTTCACCGGCTGTATTTCAGGCTGGGGGGGTGGGCTGACTTATTCATGGTCTGGAGAGCCAAATTATATCAATTATTCACTAAGGTAACAAGAAAATCACTGGCATACAGCATAATACGACAACCTGATGCTCTTACATAATCTTGTCTGTGAAGGTTCTCAGTCATCCAGGTCATCGTAGTCAAAGGAGCTTGCAAAGAAAAGCGTCTGGACTTCTTTAAGTTACTTGAAGACGTTTCACCTCTCATTCTCGGAGACATTTCACCTCTCATCCGAGAAGCTTCTCGGATGAGAGGTGAAACGTCTTCAAGTAACTTAAAGAAGTCCAGACGCTTTTCTTTGCAAGCTCCTTTGACTTACATAATCTTATTTGTTATAACAGAAGATTTAGCATAGTGATGGATCATTTCATTCCCGTCCACCAAAATAAATCCAAACCTCTTTGGGAGTTTTCAGTAAAATAGGCCATTCAGTGAAATCAAATGCTTTGTGGGTATCTAGTCAAAGTACAGCATATTCAGGCTTTGAAAGAGTACATAATTTGTTGCTTAAAGCTACTTTTATCTAAAAAACTAGGTGGAATGTAGCCGGTTGTTACTGGACAGAGTTGATCATGGCCTGGAAAATCCTTTCTCAAGAAACAACAGAAACTTTGATGGTCGTTCTCTTTTCTCATGTAGTCCAGTTGTTGTGCAGTCATCCTAATGTAGCATTCATGACTTTGCTGCTCACAAATAAAGCATTCAAGGCTATTGCCAGCAGTACTCTCGTTCCTTTACAGACAAGGGAGAAGACAAAAGGGGAGGGAGGCCACACTTCTCTGAGGGAGGATATTTCTAGAGCTGACCCATTTAAACAGCCCAGAGAAGCTGCAAAGCACAGGTGCATCTGCATTGGTTAGAACCAGAATGTGTAATTACATACATTAAAAATGCTGTTTATTCACAAACTGAAGCAAGTGTCAAAGCTGATTTTGCACACGTCATTTGATAGGCTTACTAAGCAGGATTTGAATAGAAACAGTTTGAGACACCGGGCTCAAATAACAAGTAATAGATTCAGTACAAAATGCATACAGCAAATGTCCTCAGTCATTCTTTTATGAGGGAAAAAAGAAAAGAAAATGTGGTGTCAGTTTAGGATTTGAATGCGTTATTCAGCACTCAAATGGGAAACAGTGGCTGATGATTATACGTAATCTACAGCCTCGCACAATTAGTGCAACCCAGTACTACTTTGCATTGTACTGATGTGGGGTAGAGGGTGAATGACATCCATATTTAGAAGGTCCTCATTGATTCTTCCTAACAGAGGCACAAAAGATTTGTTGTCTGTCCTGTCTTGAATAGCTGGACCTTAATGACAGTTCTGCATCATAAAACCGCCTGCTGACCTTAATCACCATTTGGAAATCTCTTGAAACTCTGAGCTAACAGTTTGCATTCGGTTTCTGCAGGTTGCATGAAAATCTCTGAGTCAGGTTATCAGGCGCTTTTGCATGGAAACACGCTGTTTCTATGCAAGGCCTGAATGTGTTTTCCCTTAAAAAAACACACACACACATGACTTGGATGATTTCTTAGCCAAAATGGCAGATGATGAAGGATGAGTGAGGAGTGTGCTATGAAGATTTAATTAAGTCTCACCATGGGATGTCTTAGTGTGACTCCAGAGGCAAGGACAGAGGAGTTTGTGTTTGCTCAGTGCAACTGTGAATAACATCTACACTATTCTTACTTTGACCTACATGTACTGAGAGGAGGATCTGAGAATATGCCCACATGAGTGCAGGTCTTTCATCACGTCTTATTTTTACCAGGAGGCTGCCAGAGGGGTCTCCTTATGGCGAACCTTATTTTAACTTTAAGCTGTCAATCTCTGCTGGAGATAATCTGGGATGTAAGAGGCATCCGCGTCGCATCTCTCTACCAAATGTACAGTCGACATAAAGCTGCGCTGCCAAATCCCGGCTGTGGTGCATTTGCAGATTGTTGCAGGGTTACAAGCACATTTTCACCTCAGTTATCTTAAAATTGTGACATAGATTTTGATCGTCTCTGTGGAAGACTCCCAACAGCACTTTTCTTCATTCCCTTTGAAATGAATTCAGTCTCTTTTGCTCCTACTCAGTGTGCGTTACCATGGATACCGCTCCCAAATGGTTTGGCTTGTACATGAATTTGTTTATAAGTGTTACTTGGAGTGGATTGTTCTTTTTCTGTGCAGCCAGGGTAAACATAGTTTCCTAATTAAGCACAGGACAAGTGCACGTAATTCCATTGTTATTACTGTATTCTCTTCTGTGGGACTAAACTAATAATTTGCTGTTTGCTTCAGGGAGTGATCAGGAAATTACTTAATTTTTGCAACTTCTGTAACGTGAAGCATGAGCTACCCGCCGACACCAAGTGCCTGCGGCAGTTCTTCTCTCTGCGATCTTCTGCATATGATTTAATCTGATTCACTTTGAATCAAAACTCTGTGGATTGTACAGCATCCTACTGATGCAAAGGAGCATCCAAACACCTCACATAGCTGCTTCTAAATCCTAATGGAGCATGCTGCCTGAGAGGCGAACACCCTGTATGGATTTGCACAACTGTAAATGATGTCTGGGGTAAGAAGGCTGAAGAGAGAGGACTGAGTGGTTTAATTTCTTGAGGACTTAATCTGGGTTTTGGAATTAAGGGAAGACTGGAAGCATCTCCCAGTGAAGCTTCAGATTTATCACTGCCACACTTCACTCTCTGAATATAAGTCCACTGAATTAAAATCAGCTAGGGATGCCCCTACAGAAGTAAACAATAATTGTGAGGTTTAAAAATAAAATATCAAGTAAATAATGCATATATGAAAATATTGTAAGTAACTGAGGGATTATTCTTTTTATGTTCTTTTGTACATATATGGTTACAGACGCTTGTTGCCTTCATGCACTTTTATTTGGAGTTTCATTTATTTTCTTAAAAAAAGACAACACACGATAGACAAAAATCCACTTTTTTTTTTGCTGGTAGGGTTATTACTGATATATATTTTGTAATTTAGATATTGGGAAAATATCTTTAACATAAACTCTTTGGACCACAGTGTGAAAATCTGATAACATGACTGCCCTAATGATGATATTTCTGAAGGAACTGAAGTACTCACCACATTCAGTCACAAACAGACCCAACAGGTCTAATTCTGGCTCTGTAAAATATTCAGCACTGCAGTGGATGGTTAATATCCCTAGCGACCCTGGTGATTTCCCTGGGGTTTCTTCTTTTAACATGGCTGCCTTACCATGTCAGTCTAATGTGTTTTTCTTGTTTTGTCAGACATATAATTACAGGCCAGAAAAGAAGCTCAGTTCCTTTCTATTAGCCTGCCACGGTCGGAGCTGGAATTTGTAAGTGATGGGGCCTGACTGTGTGTGTGCACCTCCACATCTCTTATGTAATTTCCTCCAATGGGAACATGGAGATGAGAACTAAAAGTTTGCAGAGTCACTTAATCTTCCATAGAGTTAACTAGAGAGAGCTGCAGAGCTGAAGGGTGTTTACCGTATTGAAACAACCTTCAAGTATTGAAGCTTGTTTAAGCAGTCGAAGCAGAGTGAAGCAGTGATCTGCGGTGATGTAAGCCTGACGGATCCCTGTCAGAGAAGTCTCTAATCAACAGAAAGCCACTTATTTCCTCTCTGTTAGAGTCTACAAGGTGCCTAAGACACCTGCTATCACCAAGCTGACAGACACTTATGCATGGTAACCAACAGCTGACACAAACTGATGCCAGTGTACTCTGAGAGAGAGAGAGAGAGAGAGAGAGAGAGTGACTCACACATACTCGGATAGATCCCACTCTCAGGAATGCTGGATGCCACAATGTGAGATCCACTGTATTCTGAATCATATCTCGTACACGTGGTATCTCACAGATGGAGTCCCAGTTAGATGTGTGTTTTGTAACCAGTGAGCAGGCAGGAAAAGAGATAATAATAAGAAGAAAAGTGGTCATACTCCAGTGTGCTCAAGCAGAAAGCTGCTTCTCCTGTAACAAAATGAGATCTGTCAGAGGTAAGTATTATTGCATTCTTCTGCCTGATCAGCACAGTTTGTCTGTAGTGATTTCTATCTGCTGTGAGAGTGCTTCAGTAAGCAGTTCTGCTGCGCCAGTCACATGCTTTGGGTTGGGGCTCAAAGCCAGCTGTCCCCATCATCAGTTCAGACAATGCAGAAGATGTGGCAACGTGAGACTTTGGGGCAGATGCGAGTAGCAGTGGGCGGGCTAAGAAAAGCGTGACTAATCCAATTCAATTCAATTTTATTTATACAGCGCCAAATCACAATAACAGTTGGCTCAAGACACTTTATATTGTTAGGTCAAACATTGAAACAACTCACTATGAACAAGCACTTTGAGGGGTCCCGAAAAGCACTATATAAATGCAATCCATTATTATTATTATTATTACTTTGGCAACAGTGGGAAGGAAAAACTCCCTTTTAACAGGAAGAACACATAGGGGTGATTGAAGAAGAAACACTCAGAGCATCATGGGAAGCCACCAGCAGACTAAGATTTATTCGAGTGTAACTAAGTGAGGATTCAGGGTAGGGCTGCTCAATTAATCGAATTTTAATCACAATTACGATCTGGGCTTTCAACGATCATTAAAAATGACTGAGCCGATTATTAGCCCCTCCCTCATGCTTTACTCTCGCGCTGCTCCGTGTTCGAAATCCAGCGCACCTCTCTGCATTTCGAACACGTGTCACAACAATTAAGAGCAGCGGTCCCCAACCCCAGGGCCTTGGACCGGTACTGGTCCGTGAGTCGTTTGGTACCGGGCCGCGAGAGTTGAGGCTCAGGTGTGAAATGTATGGTTTTCAGGGTTATTTTGTTATCGTTTTGATTGTTAACTCGGTTCTCCTTGGTCTTTTCATGTGTGTTATGAATAAATCTTCTTTTTTTTCAGTACTGGTACTAGTTTTATTTTGTTGTATTTATCCGCGATACCTTAAAGGCCGGTCCGTGAAAATATTGTCGGGCATAAACCGGTCCGTGGCGCCAAAAAAGTTTGGAGACCGCTGATTAAGAGGACCCAAGGGAAGCTCGGAAAGCTAAGCAGAAGTTATTTGGAGAGGAGAGTGACTGCCATTGGTTGAAAAGAGAGGTAAAAAAAAAAAACTTCAGTGGTGCTGCACACTATTTTATATTACTTTTTAAAGTCATTATTCAATACATTGTTATGGTTAACCCTTTAAAGCTGGTCAGAGCAGCATGCTCTGTTTTGTGTAACTATTTTTAAATCCCTGTAGAACCTGAACCGCGTAAGCTAGCGCAATAATTTTTTTTGCATATGAAACCAGAGGAGTTGTACTTACATCTTATGCCATCAGCTTGTCTTCGGTCACGGTTTCCTTCCACATAAAGCTTTGCAAAAATTGCATAAAAAGCGCTTGCAGGAACAAAAACATGTCCGCCATTTCCTGCCAGAAACCGGAAGTGACATAATTTTAGCGGAAAATGTAGTTTTTTACTTGTAGACCTTATACCGGTGTTTTTATAAGTCATGTTTGACTTTTCTGAATAATTTCTGGGATGCTTAGAACTCGAATTGCACTGCTGGAAATAGGTTATTTTGATGCACATGCTGTTTTCTTTGCAAATTTGCATCATAGGATTGTTTTTTCGTTTTTCCTGCAGTATATATAAAAATTGATGTATCTCCAAAATAAAACTATGAAGACACTCAAAATAAATTTCCTGTTGTTGTAAACTATTTTTTGAAACTTTTTTGTATTTAAAGTTTTGAGGGATAAACCTCTTAAATTTCTCCAAGTAGAAATATATGTAAAAAAAAACCCCAAAAAGGTTTTCAATTTTTTTGTAGTTTATTGCACTTTTTTGCAATTAATGTAGTTACTATGGACTCAATGCATACATAAAATATGGGCTATAACAGTTGTATAGCAACTTGAAATGCTCCCACAAATGGCACTACAACATGTAAAAAAATAATATAAGCTCTGGCGGACTTGGTTCTATAGTAGGTCTTAAAGGGTTAAATAAATATCGTCAAATAATCGAGATCTCAATTTCAGTGAAAATAATCGTGATTATCATTTTTGCCATAATCGAGCAGCCCTAATTCAGGGTCACCTGATCCAGCCCTCATTATACGATTTATCAAAAAGGAAAGTTTTAAGTCTAATATTAAAAGCAGAGCGGATGCCTGCAACAGCAAAGATCTAAAATCAATAGGGGACATTTGACTGAATCAAGGCATTGCCAAGAAACTTCAGATAATAAAGGAGAAACTAGGCTGCAATAATTTTTAATTAGAGGATTTGTGACTTTATAGAAATGCGGTTTTTCACATCCACAGGGTTGACATTTGCAGAATAAGGCCGGTCAAATGCTATTACCTGATGCCACCCTGTACCATACATTCTAACGGACTGAATACCTGAAAGCTGTCTGAAAATGTCACCTTGGGGTTTAAAAAATTACAGGGGACGTTTTTCCACTATTTTCCCTAAACAACAAGGCGATTAAGAAAGAAATAAAAAAAAGTCAGTTGTCCCAATTACAGGACTATTTTTTCTCTACCTCATGACCATCAATATGAGAGGAGCAACAGAAGTTACGTCAAGAACCACGGGAAATCCAAGTTGATCTTAAACTACGTCTGAAAACTGTACAAATGTAGCTGTCATCTCTGCTTTCCCTCCACGATGAGCATCAATGACTGCAGAGCGCAGAAACCCCCGGAAATGCCCCTGCAAAGGCCTTTAAGGGACTCAGATACGCAGCGACACCGCGGTGCTGCTCCGAGGCTCGAACTGCCACATGCCCCCAGCTCCCTCAGCACCACCCCTCCCTTCCTCACAAAAACACGCACAACCACGCCCCCAGAGGCACGCGCACAAGCGCAGGCTCAGACACACCACCTCCTCCATCACTGGCAAACGCACATACACACAGAAGCATCGCGGGGTGAAGCGCACAACATGTGAAATGGGCATGAAGGACAGGTGTCGGGCTCCGGCAGGCGCACAGCAGGTGCAGCGGGGCTAACGCCGTACCCACACGGAGAGCAAGGCTGCCGCTTCGCCATGTCCACCGCATGCCATGTACTCACTGGCGAGACGGTAAGAAGGCCCGTCGTTTACTCTCGAAACATTTACCGCAACAAACTTGTTCGAACTCCCCCTCTTTAGCCTTCTCCGTGGGCTCCGTCCTGATTTGAACCCCGTGGCTGCTTCAGTATTTATGTTTTATTTCTTTTTAATGATGTCATTCCGGACTCAAAGGCGTTAGGTCAGCCACAAAGGATGGAGGGCCGTCCGTGCCGCACCAAAATAAAAAGATTTGCCCGAGTGTATCAGAGCAAATGTTTGGTAAGGCTTCGAGGCTCAATGCGTCTTGCTTTGGGTTTGGGCGCGGGAGGTTTCAGGAAAATCTGCAGCACGATTGTGATAGAAAAGGAAAGAATGCAGTCTTTAAAGTTGCTTTTTGTTACTCTTTAATATGGCAAACAAATGGATTTGATCTCAGATTAATTCTGGACTGCATACAGAACATTTAGCTTTATATAAGAAACGTAAAGCCTAATACCATGCAGTACAGCCTTTGGCTCTATGAATAGGCTGTTATGTAAAATTACTGTTACATCCTTTAAAATCAAGTAGCACAGGTCGATCTGCTCACACGCATGTTTGCATCGATTATCAGTTGATGTTTTTTTCTCCTCAGGCTGAGATTTTGCTCTCAGTGTGCAACTGCAGGAGCATTTAATGGATTCTTTGCTGTGTGCCGTAGCCATGGAGACAGTATGTGGCATGTGGTTTTTCTACTTGTGCTAAAGTGGAGTCTCTCTATTAAGGAGAAAGCTTAGACCGTGAAGACAGAGGAAGGAATTTGTGGATTCACTGAGTCAAGATGTCCTGTCCCATCCTGAAATTCCAAAACACAAATCTTCCCTCTTTCCTCCTGGATCAGTGCGATTTGGAAGCAATATTCTGGTTAACAGATGTGTCAGCGAGAGACCTAAAGTTACTGTCAACCTTCAAAATTATATGCAGCACAATTTCTTTTTAAATTTTCTTTTGCATCTCCTGTGCAGTTGAATGCTCTAGCATTACTTTGGGGATCAGTTTTGTAAGGCTGTTTTACCAATATCGGGAAACGACATAATTTGATGAGCACTGTTCATCCATATCCATTAAAGGATTAAAGCTGTGTCCTTGTTTGAGTCAAATTTGGGCATTGGAATGCTCACTAAATGTTAATAATAATGATAATAACACTGCTATAATAATAAAACTAGAGCTCAACAAGGCCTTAGTCTTTGCAAGCCCCTCCTTAAAAGTATTTATTTAGATTTTTAAGGATAGAAAGATTGGAAGCTAGGTTCAACATTTTTTCCTATTTAGTGGCACTAAATAGGAAAAAATCATTTATAGATTTATCATTAATTAATGATAGATTTATCATTAATAGGACATTGGTAATTTATTTGTAATAAATTAAAACAAGAGCTAGTCTGACAATCGCAGTTGTGTTACACTGACATTCAGCATTCAAGACAGTGGTCCCAGTCATGCCGGAAGAGATCGCGTGGTACTATCTAACCCGCTATGTAAAGAAGAACAAAGCTTTTCTCAACATTACAAAACATGTTTTACTGTTATAGTAGTCACACTAGGTGCAGTAGTTTTTACTACAAATGGCTTCATATGGTCAAACATAATGAAATATTTAACTAAACCCCTAAATGTCTGTGATTGGTTGTTGTTGTCTGTTAACCACTGGATTTTCCTGTCTGTAAATCCGAGAAACCCTATTTTAATTAGTATATATAACTATAGCTATTCCTGCATATTAAAAGTAGAAAAATATTCATATTTGTGCTTTACAATGTGACAATGAACGTAACAAACCATGAAAATCAGTGAATAGCGGTGTATGCGTTCGCTTGTGTGTGTCGGGGTTTGTTGTGAACAGACGTGATATTTAGGTGTGTTGTGGAGACATGACAGAGATGGCTGGTCAGGCCTCTCTCGTCATGATGAACAGATGGTAACTCAGGGTTGGCTTGTGGGTGAGTGCCAACAAGAAAGCCCGTGTGTGTGTGTGACACATAAAAACCCATTGTTGGAACATTTTGTCCATAATATTCTCCAGAGGCCTTAAAAAAAACCCAAATAAACAAAAACAACAAAATGTTTTGGTTGTTCTTTAATCAGAGATTCGTCAAAGTTGTCTGTTATTTATTGGAAAATATTCAGAGCAGCTTTGTTTACATAGTTATGCTAACGTAATACTTGCTACAGAAAGGCGACATAAGCATGTACATTGCTGTATTTCATTTATATTTCAGTAATCTTAGTAATCAGTGAGCTTTAAGTTGTGGCTGTTGGCCTGAAATTTTCTAATTGGGTTAGTCTTTTAAGCTTATGTTACATTTATATCTACTCACCCTTACACATATTGGAAGTAGTTCCTTATAGGGCTGTGCGATATGACCAAAATCTCATATCCCAATATAAGACATCTATCGTCCGATAACGATATAAATCACAAAAATTAAAAATTTTCTGTAAACTCTGTGAATCTCGGGCAGCTCGACTTGCGTGAAGTGTTGCGGGGGAAAGCCTGTTCAAACGTTTGAGTCTAAGGTTTATTTTTTAGCACCTGACGGCTCTTTTTTTTTCTTCTCATCCGTAAACACTCTGCATACTCTTCCACGTGGTTCAGTTTATTTTGAAAAGTCTCAACAGGATCTTGAGCTTTATTGTGAAAGGTTTATGTGGAAAATAAACAAGCGGACACGCGATGGTTTTACCATCGTTGTCGTAAAACAGGCGCTTGTCCGTCCGTAGTGTGGTTATATTAAAAATAAGAGAAAGAGAGAACTTTAAGAAATTAATATAGCCACTACAGTGACCATCAAAACCGTGAAAAAATATTGCCGTAAACAGTTTATTTTGCGACACCACGAAACAAACGATAGCGTAAAATGAAACGATAGACGTTTTTATATCGTCATCCGATATATATCGTTATATCGAACAGCCCTAATTCCTTAGATTTACTTGGAAAATATATAAACATTTTATGTATTTAAAATATCTAAAATGCAGTATAGTAAGAAACTCAGTTTGCTAATTTAGCATTTTGTCCTTTACAATTAACATTTCAAAGGACATTTAATCTGGATTATCTTAATTTGCACAAATAAAACACATAAACAGACTTACCTTTTAAAATTATTGTTTACTTCAACTCGTTTGAAAATGAAAAAAAAACATGAAGGAGAAAGGGAGGGAATTCCTAGATTTATTTAAAAATGTATGTGAAGATTTCGTCAAGTAAAAATAAAACAGATTTTTAAAGGAATTCTTCATTCTGGGAAAGGATTGTTTATTTCTCAGCGTAACAGACTGTCAAATAGACCAGACCACCACAGGGTTTATATTATAGATGTTATAGCTTCATTCATCTGTCAAACTGTAATTCAGCATTAGTGCTGATAACACTCTCTCAGCATCTGCAGTCTGATGAGGGGCTATGAGGGCAACAGCAGCCGCCAGACTGAGCTGGAGGTAGAGTTCTTAGCCAGCAGAGGATATAAGCCATAGCAAAGTCTTCTCCAGAGTTTCTGACTGAAGACGATTTGCACGCATGGAGCCACCCATATATTTAAACTAAGAAAATCCCTTTAAGGCTTAAACAAACCTCGAGGTCTGTTTGGTGTGATTAAATTGCTTGTATTATGAATGCAATCCACTCATTCAGCAGGACCTTTTCGTTTAGTACCATGCTAGGAACCGCATCTGTCAGCTGTAGCTTGCATCTAAAGTTCATCTTTTTAATATTCATACAATGCCCTAAAAGAATGATATACAGTTAGATATACAGTAGTTCTTTTACCATGACTTGGTAAAACAACACCAAAGCATTTTCTATGTATAGGAAACAAATAATATATTCTATAAAATGAAAAATACAACTACTAAGCTATTACAAATTACTGAAAATGATGATTATAATAGTAGGTGAACACATTTTAGATTTCGTAGCCTTTTAAAATGTCTGTGTAGGTTCAGTCCAGGTCATGGTAATCTAAGGCAGTGTTTTCCAACTACTGTGCTGTGGCACATAGGTATGCCGTGAGAAATGATTAGGTGGAAGTAGAGCTGGGCGATATAAGATTTTTTCATATCACGATATGTTTTTTTCATTTCAGGCGATAACGATATCTATCACGATATAAGCCAAATAACTATATTTGTAAGATTTAATGTGCCGTTGCTCACAAGTAAAATGTGAAATAATCAGCAGCTTGTTTTTATTTAAATATTTATTTCCCATAATAAGTTCAACAGGGTATATGTACTTAAGGAACATGAGACTTTTTCAGATAAATAAAGGCAAATATGGCAAACTACACAAAAGGCAGCCGCTAAAGCGTTTAAGTTTCAAAATAGAACAAACGAAACAGACTAAATTGTCAGTTCCACTTAGAAACAAAATATTAATTCTAAAAATAAATCTTAGTTTGTTTTACAGAAGATCAGACAAAATTGACTAACTTTTGTCAATATCAAATAAACTGAGAACTAAAAGGAAATTCTCAATCTCTCCTTGTTGTATAGCTTAGCTTTTCAAACAGTTACTTTAGTCTGACAAAAGCCGAATGACGAATTAGCGCTTCCAGTCAGAGATTGAGCTGCACCGCTTTATTGCATTTCCAGACTTGCTTTCGGCACAATTACAGTGCGCGCTACTCTGTTTTTGTCAGACTTGAAATAGCCGAAATACCTTCACACTACGGAACTTCTGTGGCTCTTCCGTTTGACAATCTCCCCGCGTTGGAACCATCATCTGTTTTCTCTTCGGTAACCTTCGGTCACGCTCGGTTGATCTTTCTCTAGTCGGCGCACTCATTTCCTCCATTACCGGGCGGCACAGCGGCTGGCTGCTTCCCAAACAAATACACATGTGCGGCATGTAACAAGTCACGTGACGTGACGCTGCGGCTGTGATTGGTTCGGCTCTGCGCTACTTAATTTGGATTGGCTGTTGTTCTTTTTTTTTTTTAAAGAGGACAAGAGAGACGAGGCCTATCGCAATAGTTTAACTTTTC